AATACTATAATTTGTTCAGATTTATTATTAACTCATTTTTTATTTTTTTTTGAGTTTTCTTCCTTTCTATTGCAAAGGCCCCATATATGTTTTCGTTTCATTGAATAATACTAAAATTAATTATTTTAAAATTAACCTTATATATTATTGAGATTTAATAGATACAAGTAATGAAAGTTTAAACATAATGATAAATCTTAGCATATTTATTACAGTAAAAATAGTAGATCATAAAAAAAGATATCAGATTTACATAAAAGGATTTATCAAAAATTCTTTTAAAAATATTCAAAAAAATAGCTTTGGATTAAATATTGATAATTATCATAATATTCATATTTAAAGATAAGTTATTATTATTAATATATATTAGATAATCTATATGATCATAATTTTAGTTAATCTATATTTTATATTAGCGATTCTATATAATAGAGTAATTAATTCAAAAATTAGTGAATTAATTTTAAAGTATATTGATAGATGATTTATTATAAATCTTAGTATTCCTTATCATAATCATATATAAGATTATAATAAAAGATTCTTTTGATAATGAGATTTTGATGAATAAATTAATGAAATACTAATTAGCTAATAAAAAAAGATAATCATTATATATAAAATGCAATTCTTATTGACTTCATTAAATATTTAAAAGTTTTAAAAAATTATATGAAAATTCTTTAAATTGTAAATGATCAATAATTAATATAAAATTATTTATATAATTATATAATTTCTGTCATTATGGATTGGTCTGATCAATTATTTATTAAAAATTATTGTACATCAATTTTTCTTTATTAATAAATATTTTTATATTTGTTACATTATTTTTGCCTATTATAAATACTTTTTATATATTTTTAAATTTTTATGAGCTTATTTATTTAAAAATTCATTTTTATTTAATGATCTTTACAAAAGCATATTTAGAATATGTAAGAATTTCAATAAAAAGTCACAACTATAAAAAATTGATCTAATTCTTCATATTATATGCTTGATATAGATTGATATTATTGATATCATTTATTTGAAGTTCAATAACATATAGAGATATAATAATAATATAATATTACATATCTGATATAAAAATTATCTTTCTCTTTTAAAAATTTTTAAAATTATAATCAGATTAAAGAAGTTTATTTGAAATAATTATTAGTTAAGCCTGCAATCAAAATTATATTAGTAAAAAATTCTTAATCATGTAATCTAGAAGAAGTTAAAGATTACATCTAGATTTTATCAGCGAAATTTTGTAATCTATAAGTTTAACTTGAAATTTTTGATATTAAGCTATTTTATTTTGTAGAATTTAATATAGCATTAATTCTGATAGATTTTATAGTAAACTACTTTAATAGAAATTTTTTTGAAATGTTTAAAATTTAGGTAATTTAGTAATATTATGTATGACTTTTGAATTTTTTCTATCGCTATACTTTAATTGATTAATAATTTAGCTAATCAAAATCCTTTTATCTTATAAATTACATGATACCTTCTTAAATCTGATTTATTTTCCTAATAATGAAATGTATTTTACTATAGTAAGGTAGGTATATTCTTAAGATTGCTGTAATTCAATTTGAGTCGAGAATTTTCTATAATTATAATAGTACTAAAACACAGACAATTTCAATTATATGTTACTGGTTTTGCATAACATCTTGTGCTATTAACTTCGAAATCTCCGAACAATCTGATAAATTTTTTGATATATTTTCTACATATGCTCAAGCACTACTAACTAGCCGATAATATAAATCAAAGCCTACAAGCTTTGATATGTTCTGTTTATTTTTATACCTACGAGTAGTTTACTAAAAAAAGCAAGCTTGAATAATAATTATAAGATTTTATAACCATATTTTAAAAGAATAAATGAGCCAAATATTGGCACACTTTAAATTTCTAAATTGTAAAAATTAATATATAAAAAAAAAAAAAGATGAGAAAATACAACTTGTTAAAAATTTTAGCGATTAATAATGTCAACTTACCTTTCCTCAGAAGAGACACATGATAAGCATGCGAATAATCAACAAGTAAGTTGATATTAGAACTATATCGATCTAACAGAAAAGTAAAAATTTCCGGATTAGGAGCTTCGTATGTTACGTTCTCAAATTTCTGATCGGATGTCATCCTGTCCAAAATATTAGCAAACCACTGTTCTTTTTTGTGTCCTATCAATGGTATGTTATGGAAAATGCCATCGCTTGCGATTAAGATATTGGAACCTTTAATTAGAGTTGTAAGAAAGTCATATTGATCATGAATCTTTTTCATGACGTCATCTACGGTGCCATTGTCGTTGTCAGAATCAGAATCGTCAGAGCTCTCATCGTCAGAATAATTTAAACATCGAGCAACTTTATTAGCTGTCTTAAAGATTTGAATTCCTGGAATTCCCATATTTGCTTTGGAAATACAAATCTTTGCTTTAAGCTTCAATCCAATCGAGTTGGCGTTATTAACGATTCGACTTAGATACGAGCGTTCAAGGATAATATTATCAAAAAGATTATTAATTTCCAAGTAATCAAATCTAAATTTAATCGGATCATTAATGATCTTTATAAAATTATCATTCATTGTAAGAAAAAAAAAAAAAATTTGAAACTTACCCAACTTCTTTACATTTTTTCAAATAAATTTTGGTTGACAAGGATGAATCTTTAATTCCAGTACCTAGGACACAAAGTTGCTCAAGTAAACCCCCAGTTGAAACTTCAATATTACGAAGATGGATGAGCTCAATGGTTTCCTTTAACGCTGAATCCGGGAAAAGAGAATAAACCGGGCCATCAAACTATATAAAAAAATAGACATTTTCAAACGTTTTATCGATATTTCATAACTTAAATAATTTCTTAATAAAGGGAAATGTACCTTAATCGATTCAATCTTATCAAGTCCAATATTATCTAAAAGTTTAATTAAGTAGGTTTGCCCACCATTATGAGTATGATACGGACCCAAGGGAGTATAATAAGGAATACTAATATGAGTTTTGCCAGAAGACATTTGACGAATAAACTGACGCGATATTGGAGATAACCGGTTTACAGAGCGAGCGTATATTTTTGAAAGGATTCATTTTTGTGAAAGCAAAAGGTTTCTTCAAGAAAGGTTTGTTTCTTCAGGATTTGACGTCAGGTGTTACTGTTTTTAATAATTATACTGGAAAATATCAATCACGTGACAATATGGTGTCATAATAAGGATATCAAAGGAAAAAATATCGCATGAAAAATAAATATTTTATATGAAACTAAATTTGTAAACCATATATAAGAAATATAATTTTTTTAGAATGTAAATGTAAAGATTTTATCATAATTTATGATATTTATTTAACTTAAAGGTACAATGGACCTGCGATAGCAATTATTAAAGAACTAAATGAACAAAAGTATAAGCCATTTTCGTCTTACTAAACCTTTGAAGTGTGTTTACGAAATCGGTAATAGCATCACATACATCGGACAAGTCATTTTAGCAAGACACCGATGATGAGAAGGAATTACGAGTGTCACTTCAGGTTGGTGGTACAATTGCGAATGGACACAAGTATACGTTGCGAATATATAATTTCCTTTTGCACGTAGTTATCCGTATAGTCAGAGACGTTACCAATAAAAAATCGATCAACTTTGGGAAGAACATCCGAAAGCAAATAAAGTCACATATCAGGAAAGGTTTTACACATAATATTAAGGAACTAGCGGCCGCCCAGGAAATACAAAGAAACGAAAGCTAATGAATGGAATTGTCAGCATATGGTACTTTATATTATTTACACCGATTCTTTTCTACAAGCGAAACTTTTCATATCATCTAATGAACTAGAGCCATTTTAGAAAATGAGGGTAAGTTAAGAGAAGAATTGATATGAATAATGTTTTGATAGGGTTATTAATAGGATCCCATTAAAAAAGATAGGACCATGAAATAAATATGTTAGAATAATCGGAGCATATATTGTATATGGGGCCAACTTAGTAATGATTCTGATTTCTTTAACAATATTCAACTAACGCATATTCACATATGCGAAGGCATAAATGCAGATTCGAGCTTATTTTTTCTTGTCCATATTTATGCTCAATTAGTTTGTTCATTTCGAAACTCTATTTGTTTGAAATTCTCGACAAATTTTTTTTTTAATAAAGTGTGGCGCAGTAACTTGGTGCTTTAAGAATTTAATATCAATTAAATGAAAAAAAAAATCGTTTCTTGTAACCAAGTCATCAAGTTATTTCTTAATCGATCCAGCTTCCACCTTTATTAACAATAGTACTATCATTATTTTTTTTATTTGTTTTTCAATTTTTAAATAACAAAGATAATTACATATGTATATGAAAATTAATATTTTAACCAAGAAATTACAAACAAGATATTTCTTTAGTAATTCTTATCACCATTATCAGGAGCATAAAAAAAACCGGCCATCAAAACTGCATACGAAAGGATCAAAATTGATCCTTTAAAATAATTAGATTTCCCTTCAATATAAGTATAAGTTAACAAAAATACCGAAAATACCACCGAGAATACATCCCATCGAGGAAATACTAATCTGTTAAAGAAAGAGAAATCAATTATTATAATTAATCATAATAATAAAATTTTATTTCTTTCAAATAAAAAAAAACAGGAACGAGCTTTTTTTTTTTTTTTTATCACCAAATGATTACTTACGTAAAAGTCTTATTTGAAATATCCTCTTCGTCAGATCTATCAGCATTATACCAAGCAGAAAAGGCAACCATGGCAGGAATTTGTAACAGACAGACTTGTAAAGCGTAAGCAGAACCAATTTCCATACTTAAAGCAATATTGCCATACAAAGCAAAAGACATGGCATTAACGAATTCAGTTACATTAGGTACTAAAGCAAATAAAGTTAAGCCTAAAAACTTTTCGGTGACGGTAAAATTATTCAATACAACTCCAACATTCCCCACCAAGATTTCTGCTATAAGAGAATATAATGCGGTACAAGATAACAATACTATTCCACTTTTGACTTTACTCCAATTAGGAGAATCATGACCACTAGGTTCTTCTTCTTCTTCGGGTTCATGAGCAAATCTAATTAACGAAGCATTAGAGGGGATGAAATGACCTTGTGATGTTAACGTCGCTAGATGATCTAAATTATGTATGTTATTTTGAACAATTGGATGTGAACTTGGACCAGGAACCGAGTTTGGTCTTTGCGGTAAAGTTGAGGTAGTAGATGCATTATGCGATGATGGATGCAATGTATTAGAATGTGAATTTGATGGATGCAGATGTTGTGAAGGTGTATCGTGTGGGTTTGGATGTGGTAATAATTGTTGAAGAATATATTCTGGAACTATTTTCTTATAAATTGAAGTTGATCTCGAGTTTGAATTGTCTACAAATGTATTAGCATGATGTCCCGTTTGCCATACTAGTGCGGCGTGTGTTCTCAACGTAAACCATAATCCGATAACGTATGACTATAAAAAGACGTTTCAGAACATTAATTGATTTTATTTTTTTTTTAAAAGAAAAAAAAATTATTAATTTAATAAATACTCACTAATACTAGGATAACGGAACAAAACAACATTAGCGGTTTTACGCGTTCTTTGTATAATGGAGTAGAAGTTGGATCGACTTGAACGTGAGTACAAAGTTGACATTCATCCGTTAATTGTGTATATCCTTTACATGGAACACAAGTCATCTCATACTAAACGCCCAAAAGGTAAAGGAAGAGAATTAAATTGATTGAAATTGAAAAACTTGAAGAGTAAAATCATTACGTACTGGAGCGTAAGTCTGAAAGAATAAAGTTGGAGTGAGAGCGCCAATAATAGCCATAATAAGCATAGTAGATGTAACTCCTGATAAAAGGATCATGGTTGTTAATAAGGGTTCTCTTCAAATTAGGTTAGAGATAAAATCGAAAACTTACCAGCAGATTTTGCGTTGAACTTCTGTTCTTTACGTTTAAATCCACTACTAATCATACTAACGCCGGGCATTAATAATACACCGGCCATTAAACTACCAATTATACTGCCTTCAGCCACTTTACCTTTACCTTCAACTAAAGTAATCGCATACAAGATGATTTCAACGATACTACCAAAAGTAGCGTTGATAACAGCTCCTAATCCCGCGGAAGATTGAGCCGAAATTGAAGCCACCGCCATACCAATGAAATAACTTAAAGGTATAACTGATACCAGTGACAATGTAAAGAGAAACTTTTGTGAGGTAAAAAAGTAATCTTCAAATATTTTAGTTAGGAAACAATAATCTATGATAACAAAGAATACTAATGGCATTAAATTTATAAATAATATATTGATTCCATCATATGTATATTTAAAATATTGTATTCCGAATGCTTTATATGTACATAATAAAATGAGCGAACGTTGGTTGGTAAGTAACGATAATGAGGACCCCGGTTTAAAATGTAATGATAATGGGTATTTACGTAAATGTCTACTTAATACAAATGTTAATTTTGCCATTGGAATAGAAAATACACATAACCAACATAAAGCAGATATTAATAAAAACATGGGAGCTAAAAAAGCGTAACAAAATTATTATTAATTAATATTAAGAAAAAAAACAATCTCATCTTAATGATTTAATTAATACTTACCAATGATTAGGAAGAACCAAAAGTAATAGACTACCCCAGCGAATCCGATTTCCCTTATCGTTTTAAATAAGTTGAACTTTTTTAAATTTCTCATCGTTATGTTATTCTTCCTATTCCTTTCGTAACTATTAGTACGCCCTAATAAAGGCCTTCTCTCACTATTAATGTCTTCATCTGTGGTATATCCTCCCGTGACTTCACTACCTCCAGTAGCACTTTCCCTTTCTATGCCAGTAATGATCATAGAAGTATCCCTTGCCATAAAAAAATCATTATGATTCATATTTCCTACTCGTTCTTGTTGTTGTCTTTGTCTTCTTCTCAAATCTTCATCAGCTGCAAACCATTCTTCATCTTCAACTTCCGATCTTTCAACATATTTACCAAAAGGCCAAAATATATAATAACTTAATTCCCTTAACACCCTCGCATATTTATACCCTCCTCCTGGTGTAAAGAGAAGGAAGATAGATATTATAAAAGATATTAATGCTAACAACCAGCCACAACTTATCGTCCATAAAATATTTCCCGGGTATGGATACAAATCTGATGAAGGGGTAGAATGAAGTGCTGAGTTTGCATTTCGTGTTACTGATCGCGATTTTTTATATAACGCTGGTTTCCATAACGAAAAACCAAAAGGATGTGTTGTGTTTATTGCCTTGTAAGAGGGAAAGAAAAAAAGGGGAGGGGGGAATGCGTGAGAAAAGATCGATTAATCAAATTTCTTTGATAAAGAAATCACACATACGTCTTGTCGATCCTTAAGGGTAAGTTCGTGATCGCTACCGCTTAAAGGTTCATCATCCGCATCGTCATTATCATTATAATCTTGATCCAAATCAGCATTATTCCTTAAACTATTAGCACTTTTATGTCTTCGATAAACAGGTCGTTTTTTTAAACCTTGTCTTCTCTTTGAAGATGCATCATCGTTATCGTTATCATCAACATCATCATCATCATCATCATCATCATTTGATACATCTTCGCTTGATGGTGCCTGCGATTTACGTCTCGTTAATCTATGCGACGGACGATGATTTCCTCCGGTTGTTGCGTTAGTGGTATTGGTGTTTGTTGGTGAGGAACCCATTAAAATAGCTGATGGTTGATTGTGATTTATTGAACCGTCGCCTAACAAGTTATTATTAGTAGGACTTCCACTTCTTATATCTCCTCCACCGCTTAATCGGTGCGATTCACTATTATTTTGGGACATTTTCAATTAAAAATAAACGTCCGTTAGGAAAAAAAAAAAATCGTTGGATACACTTATATTTAAAAATTTTTTTTTTTTTAGGGGGTTGTTATGCATATAACTCGTTTAAAAACGAGTTTTGACAATTTTTTTTGGTACAACATATGATACAATTGTACATAAAAAATTACTGATAACGAACGGAATGTTTCGGTGGCAAGATCATCGATAAGCAAGAAAAAAATGCCTAAACATAATTCCTCAATTGGATTGAATATTATACAAATGGTTAGTTTTTCCATGCCAAGTGTATTTTTTACTGATTTTTGCTTATCCGAAAGATATTTTTTTTTTTAGGACATGTGATTTATGGGGAGGATTAACTGGTTTGGTAAATTATAACCGTTGTTAGATATCAAAAATTGTGATAATTACAAAAGGCATCAAAGTGGGTTGATCTTACAAACAATTTAAAATATCAAAATGTTCTCTAGAACGAACGTATCTGTATCATACTAATTATCTATTTTTGTAATTAATTAGCATTTAAACATGCATATGCCAAGTGTTTTGTGAAACTCGTTTATTATTGGTCAAATTGGGTATGGGAATCAACTTGATCGAATTAGACAAGTTAAGACAAATGACATCATCATTTTATTATGATGACGTTCCACATAAGGAGTAAAGAATTCGTGGCGGAGGTAAATTAATCAAAGAAAAGGTGATGAACAAATTGCGTAAAAAAACATTTTATTTATTTATATTTATTATATATTCGTAAAATTACTACATAAGGGGAAGCAGTTTATTGGCGATCACGGTATTTAGGGTCAAAGGTAAGTTTAATAATTCATCAAAAGTCACATATTTACATTTGGTTTCTGATATTTGTAAGGCATTTCAAAAATTAGACGTGCTCACTTCCTTAACTCACGTAATCAAAACACTTCCACGTGAAAACGCGTACATCCACGTGACTTCTTATATTTTAATT